TGTTCAACAAATACCAAACCAAACGAATAATAAAGTTATTCGGTATTTTACTGACGTTTAAAAATTTTATATACACATTTATTTATAACACCGTTTGTTTATTTTACTGTCAGCGATTTATAAAAGTTGCATACCTATACAAATTAATATTATTTCTGACAATTGCTAAATTCAGATAGATTATTTTCAATTTTATTTGGAACCTTAAGACGCCTGAATGAAAATTTACTGTAGGTAGGTACATGAATTGTGTAGTAACTTCTCGTATATATATGACATACTTTGAATTTAAATAAAGACTAACACACGGTTTCCGAAAGGCCGATCAATGTTAAAATCAATTATTCATCTGATTTGTTGTTGATAATTCAGTCAACCACTCAGATGACTTGACAAGAGATTTAACTGGAGATTAGTTAATTTTAGCGTTAACAAGCCTTTCAGAAACCGGGTGTTACTGAAGTGAAGTCATTGGGAAAAGATTTAAATTCCTTTAGTGTTATCTAGCACAGTTGCTTACTAACGAGTCCTACATAGCCAAAACTTATGATATTTTTATGGCAAAATCCGGCAAATATTCCGCAAATTGTCTGATGGTAACCAAACTGCGTCGACCTTGGACACTTATCAAACTAGATTAAAAAGTTCTTTCCTAGTCTTTAAAGGATGGAAAAAAAATGGACACGGGCATTAGGGGATTTGGTGATATGGGGTTATAAGGATGGGGGATGGGGCAAAGCATTGGATACCCGGCAACACAAAAACAACAGATTATTAGATTATTTTTATTACCAAAATTTTAAGTAACGACACGGAATTAGAGTGTAGTGCTAGGTGTATTTTTTTGAGTTTAAATTATCATATAAAGTTAATGCTTGCCTAAGGAATTTACCCCAAACCTGCTTGCTGGATTATAAAACTTGTCACACCTCGTCCAAGAATAGAAACAAAAGCAAATAACACATAATAACCGGTGGTTAGTCATCGATACTGTTTGGTTTGTTTTTCGTCAACATTTTCGACTACTAATGTTTTCCTGTCGCGCCTAAGTGCCATCAATCAGTCGTCCATCGATGAAATTTTGCTATTCGATAAACTTATATTGGTGGCGAAAATACATTATATACGATAATATACGCCGTCCATCAAAAAACTAACGTAATATCAAACCCTAAAAAATCGATAGCAAGTTAACCTTTTTGTTTTTTCTTATTTGAAAGGAGACAGTTTTCTTAAGATTTCTCTTACCCTGGGTGAAGCGAGAAGGAGTGTCAGATTCTTATTGACTAAAAACCACCTCGTCCTTTTTCCTGCTCCAAGGCACGGTACACTAATTAATTGCTTTATTTAGTCCAAAAGAAAACACAGAAAAATGATCATTATTACCTAGTTTTCGTCCATTGTTGGACATGGTATCTCTCAGGTGAATCTTCATTACTTCGTGTATCACCGTTGCACGATTCTCTGTCACAATTGTGCAATTTTATATTCGTCTGGACTCTGGACTTCGGACTTTAAAAAAGAAAAGCGATTTACCCAGCGCAATATTCTCAGATAAGTGAGTTTTAGTTTCTTTTGTATACTGTACTGTTGACGTATAATATACCTAGAGATTTTTTCTAGTTTGGTTATAAAAATTTATGCAATAGCGGTCTAAAAGTGACCAGCCTGAGTTAAAGTGGCAGACACCTTCAACTTTGTAAGTTATTTTGTCGATATAAAAGTAAAACGTAAGAAATTCTTAACATTGTTTGTCAATATTGTAACAAGGTACCTAAATCTTTTTACGACACGAGTAGGTACATAGTTTTTAATTATAATTATTTATGTTTTTAATGAACTTTGTCTATTATCGAAACTATTTGGGCCAACGATACGAGCTTATCGTAGAATAGCAATTTATTTACAATCTTTTTTATCAAAATCAATATCTAATTATTACGTAATTAAATTGATTATTCAATAACAATTATTTTGACCACGAAATACAGCTTGAAATATATTTAATGTTTCTCATAATATTCAGTTCGACAAGGAATCTTGACACGGAATAGCATTTATATAAAATTCATAATCTAATGACCGACCTCGATAATTCCAGTTCATAAATTTTGAATCGAAGTAGCCGGATTGAGTTTTAAAAATATTATTTTTAAAAGGTCAAATATCGATAAATATTTATAATTTACTATCTAAGGGTTGATTTTTCAATGGTTAGATTATAGTTATCTGGGGAATAATTATGATGCTGTCGCGTCACAATGTTTGTAAAAGAAAGTGACAGTAACAATTTTATTCCTTAGATAACATTAATCTGACTATTTAAAAATCAGCCCTAAGAACAAAAAAAAATATTTTCATAGTAGTTCGGTGGTTAAGGTCCGCTTCCCATGCATGAGGGTGCGGGAAACCCGGAAAGTACTAATGTGACTTTTTCGGAGCTATGTGTACCAATCTGCTATCTAGATTTATCTTGACACCATTGGCATACGGTGAAGAAAACCTGGATTTATCATTTCTTATTATAAGTTTGAGTTCGCCAATCCGCCTTGAGCAAGCTTTCTCCGTGTGAGAAGTGGCCTCTGCTCAGCAGTGGGCAGAGGATATAGGCTGATGATGATATGATGTGAGTGGAGAAAATATACATATTAACCTTTCTCTTTAACCTCTCCTATTCAAAAAACTGCATCAAAATCCGTTGAGTAGTTTTAAAGATTTAAGCATACATACATAGGGATATAGTGACAGAGAAAGTGACTATGTTTTATACTATGTAGTGATTTTGAGCTGTTTGTCATGAAAGTTTCACGTAATGTTTTCTGCTTGCATTTATTTAAACTCCATGCTATTAGTTAATACAATAGGTACTATACATACGTATGTATATAGGTGACAATTATTCAAACCTCCTGATGATATTTAAATGACGCACTTGGGATTAATAACTAGTAGTAGTACGGTTTATAAAATGAATGTAATACAGGGAAAAGTATGTAGATTTATAGTTCAGTGAACTAAAGCTATGCTTCGGCACGAATGTGTTGGCTCGACCAGAGTGCTACCACGGCCTCACAGAAAACCGGCGTGAAACAACCTCAGTATTATGTTTCGCCGTGTAATTGAGGTTACCGGAGGCTCAATCTTTCTTCTCTACCCATAATTCCATCACTGCTCTGGGCGGCACCAATGCTTACCATCACGTAATCCGTCTCCTCGTTTGCTTTTCTACCACATAAAAAAGCGATAGCGTTAATATAAACCAAATCACAGTTTCCCATTCATCGAGTAATCATTATAGGCTGATGCATAAAATCAGTTGAAAACAATCTTCACTTATTTTATTGACAATTTTTGAAATGCAAGAATAAAACGAATTATAATTTTGATACAAGATTAAAACGAATTCTGTTATTTAAAAGACGACAAGACTTCGATCAATTTTATCAGAAATTTTGAAACTTAATTCTCAGCCGGGGTTGCGGATAACTGCAATGACAACAGGAGAAGGAACGAGGAAGTTTTTAGTCAGTAAGAGTCTGACACTTCCTCATGCCCCGCCGAGGGCGGGAGAACTCATTTGATGATTTTCTCATCACAAAAAAGGCTGAATCCAACAGTCTAACAGAAACAAAATAAACCACAGCATAATATAAAAAGTAAGTCAAGCAAAAGTGTTGTCAATTCTAATTCTAGCTCAAATCGATATTTGGATACTGAATTCCTGGCCAGACAGTCTGGCGTCTGTTTGTGTGGTGCCAGTGGTCGCGCCTCGATCCGTTAACCTTTGTTTAATGGCCCTGAAGATTATTGTCGCATATTTTACTTGAGATACATGAGTATGAAGTTAAAAGATGTTTGGCAAATTGAGTCCACATCTTGTTTTCTGTTAATTGTGTCCGTAATTTATTTACTGTTGTTCAGATGTATGGAAAATGTAAAGATTAGTGATGATTCTGTTATTCTTGTTTTAGGACGTTATTGTGATAGGACACCAAACGGACCGATTATCTGGGTCTTAAGTAAACGGCTTCCCCCATGCACACTTGCAACACTCGAGGAATTATGAGGTCGTTGGTGGCTGCTTGGGGATTAGGGTTTTGGACAAAAAGGGATAGGGGAGATGGAAAAGTTTTGGGCCAGTAACCTCACTCCGGTTAAACACAATGCTGTGGTTGTTTCAGAGATCCGTTTTCTGTGAGAACGTGGTCTTTTCGGTCATGCCAAGCCAATGTTATGTTGTTTTTCTGGTTTTCTGTAAGGCCTTTGTATCATTTCAGTCGCGCCGATCCATTCGTGCCGAAGCATGTTTCTTCCACACTTAATTTATTTGCTTTATAAACACGACTGCACAAAATGAGAGGCAATATTTTTTTATTATTTTCATTATAGAATTATGAAAACTCGTAACAATTTAGCTAGGAAATAAATATTAATTTGTCAGATTCAAAGGCAAACGTTTCAATCCAGGGACCTATCTGAATATATACTCTTGTAATAAACCAGTTAGGCAATCAATGTGCCATTATATATGTATATTAGTCTTCTTAATGCCAAAAAAGTAAAAAAAATCTGTTTGACAAATTATTCTATAGGGGGGTATAAAGGGGAGTTTTGATACCTCAATTCCTAGCTCACAATGAGACCACACCTTATCCTAGTTGCTGTCGTCTGTCAGACTAGACCGCATTGAAGTTATGCCTTATTCGGAATGTTACACGGAATATGTCAAGTGCCACTCATGTTGTGTTTTGAAGTTGGATACCTACATGTTCATAGATTAGGAATTTATGATTGTATTGTTAGAAAACAGAACCTATGGAATGGAAATAAGTTTTTTTCTAATATTTTCAGCCTCACTAAAGCTTTTCCAGTTACACCGACAGATATGTAAATAAACACTAACAATCCAAAATAACGTTCAAAGACTGAAATGAGATGTAAGATGATATGACACAAGCGAGCTGAGACAGCGCTATGGTCGCCCGTAGCGCTCCCACACCATGACAGACGAAGAAATTGTACCCCCAACTTTCGCTGAGAAACTTCTATTTTACACAACAGCCACTTTCGTTCTACTCGGGACGTTCAGCCTCTTTGCATTCCTTTTCCTCGTACCATTTGTCATAGAGCCAGCCTTCACTACAATATTCATGCAATTCGATCCAGTCGCAGCACTATGCGTTACCACAGGGGTAAAGCATCTTGTTGGCGCCAGCAATTGCTCCTGGGCATCGTGCAGGGAAGGCTGCACCAAGGACTTGTTTGAGTGCACCCAGATACGCGTCAACTACAAACTGGGTATATACCCCAATGTAACTCCGACAGAAGACCTGGAAACTTTAATTAGAGAAGAGAGGGCGCTGCGAAAAGACTACGACTACGAAAACTACGAGGTTGCGGCTGATAAATCGTATCCAGAAATGGGGGAAGAAGATCTACCTGATGCTTTACCAACGGGATTGCAAGGCAACGACTCCGAATGGTACTTCACTGGTGCTCGGCTGTTCCCAAATGTGAAAGGTTGTGGGTACCCGCCTATCCTCAACTGCACGATCTTCTACGCGAAGCACAAACCAATTGGCAATAACTACACCTGCTATTACAGCCGCGTGGACCCAGGACTTGTCATCACTGAGCTGGATATGTGGCAGAACACTCTAAACTTGGTGTATGCCATGGCAATACCTATACCGTCATTCATAATATCAGTGATATATTTGACGTTTGCTTACTTTAAGATTTATAATACTGAGGAAGAGTCTGAACAAGCGCCATTGAAGAGCGATGCTGAGGCGATGGCTACTGGTGATGATGAGAAACCAACAACCCCAGGATCTGATACGTTTAGGGAGGATCTGGCCTGTTTTGGACATCAGCTAAAGATGCAACTGGCTAATGAGAAGCCTAAAGAGGGCTTCGAGTCCAACAGTCCGCCAATTTCCAATTCTGCTTCATTGTCTGGGTAAGTTACGTTTTTCAAAACTTGTTTTGCTTTCGATTGCATCGTTTTTTAATCATCTGTTTATTTCATTTCATCAAATTTCGTTCTAAATTTAAAAGCGTGTCTTTTTAACGTTTAAAATCATTGGACTTATTGAAAAAATGTTATAGAGCACAAATTGACAAAATTGATAAAAAAGAAATTATAATTTCCCTTAAGCTGTCCCGTCTCAACATATTTTGATAAAATTCTCTACATCCGACAGGACCAAGTCATCGTTCGTGAACGCCTAACGTGACTAACAACAAATAACACAGAGGTACGTCTCTGGTGGCGAAAGCTTTTTTAATATAATATGCTTAAAGCACAAATTCGTACGACACGCTCGAGCACTGAAACTACAGCACAGACCAATCAAGTGATTTGTAAACGCTTAACGCTTAGCGCTAACATAATTCAAAATTCAAATATAATTATTTTTGAATAATTATTCGAAAATGAACAAAAATTATTCAAACTTATTTATAACAATACAAAATAGCTTTATTCATAAAAAATTAAATAAAATGTCCTCCTCTCTCATGTCATTGACCTTTAGTTTCCATTTTTTATAATCAATAACATAATTATTGGTAAGCATAAGTCGAAAGTTTTGCCCATCTCAAACTTATCACATTTCTTGCTTTATGCAACCGAAAAAGGGGAAAAGTTTAGTATGAAACACCAGAGTGTTTTAAAGTCAGCCATCAGCCTTAATGGCACAGTATTCAAACATTTTTAATTGCCTGTCTTGTTCGTTTATGTTTTAATGCTCATACATGCTTTTAAAGACATGCATAAGCCTTTAAAAGTAGCTTTTTGTACATTTGAAATATTCACATACACTTAGTCTGAATAGTATTCCATATTATTTATGTGATAGGATTGCACACGAGCAGACGGATTACCTGATGGTAAGCAATCAGCACCGCCCATGGTCATCCACAACATCAGACGAGCTACGTGTGCGTGGCCGACCTATTGAGGATTAGGGATTTGGACATTTAAGGATTGGAGAGGGATTAGAGGAGGGGAAAGATTGGGCCTCTATTCTAAGAATTCCAAAAATTGTAGATGAATAAAAAAATAATTAGTTAAATATAATTTTATTCCGTTTTATAAAATAATTATTTTGTTTTATAATTATTAATACTTTATAATATTAATTTAAATATTTTCTTTTCAGATGACACGATTCCTGAAGAGGCGGGTTTGGTTACAGAGTGCATCACGAGATGAGCTGAACAATATTAACAAACTTTATGATCTATATTGTGCTCCATATGTGATTTATAACACGCTTGAGTATTGCTGTTCCTCTCATTCTATTCTGTAAGAGTGTATGAGTGAGAAGGTAGGATAGACACAGTATGAAAGCAAGACTTTGAGAAGGTCGAAAACGGGCGAAAGATTTTTTTTATAACGCGTTGTGAAATAAAAAGTAATACTGAATAAATTTGGCGGTGATCTCTCTTGTTGGGCGCAGTTTAATTATTTGTTGAAAATTTTACGGTACCTAATTACTGGATATTTTAATGTTAATTTTATTTTGATGACAATGACAATACGTTTTCAAATTGTTTTATTCAATTAAATTACTACTACTGAGTACTATACAATAACTATTGATTTTAATTATATTAACTTTGAAGAATAATTATTGCTCAATACAGAAGGGTTTTCACAAAACAAGAGATATCACCGCGACAAAAGATTTATATTAGTAAATAAAAGAATTTTATCTCCTAATAGTAATTAAAAATAAGGTTTTAACGCTCGTACGCTAATGTGTCAAACTGCACGCGTGCTGTTAAAATTATATTGAAAATATAAAAAAAATATTGTATATTTTAAAAATTATGTATAAAAAGCAAGCTGTTCAAAAATAGTGAAATAATTTTATCGAATTGTTGATTTTGAGATCCATTATGATTAACCAAACAAAAATAGAAGATGGCTAGAGAAAGAAAAAAATACATACATAAAATAATATTATAATGATATATAAAAAAAGTTTAGTAAAAAAAAGTACATCGATTTAAAAATTACAAATAGTGTTGTCCCACCAGTACAATTCATTAATATCATTTTAATTGATAAGCTTTAATAAATTAGTTAATTTTAAAGTAATAATGCACATTATATTTTGACATAGTTGCGGTTGAGTTGGCTAAATTACCCAAAAGCTTGACTGAAGGTATGATGTGGTTAGAAAATCTCAAATTGAATAAAAATTTAAATCGAATGTGTGGATTGAACGATCATATATGAACGAACGTTGATATTATTGTATTCCTTGCCACGCGCTACGCGATATCGAGTCTCCGTCCCGTGCCTCGACTAATCAAAAATTCATTAACACTGTCCATACCGATCCGAACCGACATTATACCATTACGCTCACCAAAATAGAATACATTAATCAATTATATCGAAATTTGTTGCCTCTATACCACTGTTATCGTCTTACTACGAAAAAAAAACATGTACTTAAATGCCTACAACTGTCATTTTAAAGTCGAATTCTTGTATAAATCCAATGAAATAATGAAAGATCAGTAAAAATCCTTTGACTAAAGTTACTGAATAACATAATATTGATATCTATTGACTTTTTTTTTCTTGCATTGGCACTGTTCTGTTGTAAGACGATAAGAACGAACACTTCCAATAAACCCAAGCGTTGCACTGTTATTTTGGATACAAATTAAAAAATCCTAAGGTTGTAAGCAATGCATAATAAGTTTTTTTTTGGTAATTATATTTACTATAAAACAAAAAGGCTTGTGAATAATGCGTAAAATCTAGATTAAAACGCCAGTCGAGTTTCTTTTGTACCTATATTCTAATTCCGTATAATTGCTACTGGTAATTATACAAAACCATTTTTTTTCATATTTTGAATATTTACCCATAATCTGATTATTAATTTTACGCAACTCCTGGCCTATTGCCAGGATTAATTTATAAACAATATTTAAAACACACACAAATTGTAAAAGAACAGTCAATAATTTATTCTCAGAACAGTCAATAATTTATTCTCCAAATAATTATGTGGAAACCCAAATAATTGTTGAACTAAATTATTTTATACCAATTTAATTATAATTATAATTAAAATAAATTCACGTAGACTGGATGAGTATGTTAGATATTGCTAAAATCTACGCACATTGTCTAGTGTATAAATTCGATAAATTCGATATCAAATAAGTGTTTGTATAATTTTGAAAACCGATAGTAAAATACGCCTTTATAGTTTTAATATGTGTTGTATGGTGGTTTTATCCCAAATATTTGTAAAATAAATTATATTATATGGCTTTATAAAAAATATTTATGTAATAATCAATTTTATTCGTTGTTTTATAAATATTAATCTATACACATCTATACAATTAAATACCAAATTCAGAATGAAAAATAAAAATATTGTAACGTATATTATGACAGATGTACCTTAATTACTTTAAAACAGATAATAAACTGTATAATTGTTGTCACTTATATAAATATTTATTTAACGTAAAAATGCTATTTATTATGATGAAGTATATTGAAAACTTAAAATTATCAAACATTTCAAACTAATTATGTTAAAATAATTTTTAAAATATCGAGTTACATTATTCAAAAATAATTATTAATTACTTTTAGAAAAAAAGCAATTGTTAAATTATATCACAAAATGTTAATCGAAGTCAAATTATTTTTTTTATTATGTTTGTCCGTGTGAACGTCTGAATTTCGGTTGTGTATAGTTTTTTAGAAATTTTAGTGTTAATATTAATACGTATTTTTAATATTTCCAATGATATTGTTGTATTGCAATTGTATGTAAAATGCTTTAATGTGATGATATTGTTAAGGCACTTTCGGATAGGTTCTCACGTTGATGCCCTTTCTTCCAATAAACTATTGTAAAAAATGAGGTTATATTTCTATTATTTTTGCCATTTATATTTCAATTTTATCAAATACACAATTAATATAATAATTCAAAATTAATAAATGTATGTATTTTTAAATTATGAATGTTTTTAAGATAATTATTTAAATAAATACAGTTTTTTAATGTAAGTAAATATACTGTATATTTAGAAATATGACCTCGCCTCAATATTCTCAAGATAAACACTTCTAAGTATAACTTTTTAACACCCTTACACTATTATAATTATTTTTGAATATTTTTATGTGTTGTGTACCTACACATATTCTAAATTTAAAATGTAATATTATTAATTTTATCAAAGAATGTCATTTTGATGTATAATAAACAGCTGATTTTTTGTGTATTTTGTTAAAATGTTAAATGGGAGCGATCGCTATTTCAATGCTTTTTGGCTTGAAACAAAACACTTATATGTATATAAGAATGATATAATTAATAATGAACTTCATCATCAATCTATCGAGTAACGAACACGAATAAATGTCATCAGCAGCATAGATAAAGTCCACCTAGAAAATATTTTGTAAAAAAAATCGATGAGATTGCATTCAAAAATTTAGATATTTGTAAAAGAATTAGGTGTTAAGAGCATAACTTTTAGTAGTTACGCAAAAAAGCCGGTTACACACATTTTAATCGTAAATCTTTAGTTTTAATATTTTTTTTTATAAAATCTACCTATAGATACGAGCTTAAAAAAATACCTTCCAATACAACTTATAGATATGTAGGGTAGTGTACCTACTCACGACAAACTATTGAAGGCAAAACAAATTTATTGTTACAATATCAGAAATCCAAATAGAAAATGGATTTATTCAGAGTTAGTATTCCAAAGGTTAATTGTATCTGGCTGTATTCCAGGAAACCTTGGATTTTGTCCAAAGTTTTTAGTTTTTAATAGGTTTCACAATAAATTTCAAAGTTGGGGTAAAACAGTTGCTATTCGTGATTTACCTGAGCCAAGTATAAGAAATTAATTAATAAAGTTTATCCAGAAGGTGCTTCAAGTTTGCACTAGGCACGGTTATCATCATAACATAATAATTATTAGCCAATAACTTTGAATTAATTTTACTCTGAAAGTCATTCGACAAATTCAATTATACCGACTTGATGATTACCTAATAATTATTTATGAAATTTTTTTTATAAAATAATTAAAAGGAAATAATGTGTGCAACCGGCTAAACTTTGAAAGTGTGGCGCAAAATTTTCTTGCTAATTAAAATTAAAAAAAAAAACTTATAACAAAAGCGAAATGTTTGAAATATTAATATTCATTGTAAAGTGCGTTTTCATTCATTTGGAACTGTTGCCTTATAACCGTTTTGTACATAAAGAAATAAATGAAAAATCGTTAGTAGGGAATAAAGTACACTCATTGGCTTCAAACTGCGAGTTTTATTTTTTACCTTCCTAAAATATTAAATAAATTACATAGGTAACAATTGGACACCCTCGGAGATAATAAAAGATTACCATTTGTTTCATCTTGCTTCCTAACATTGGGCACTTTGCTTCTACTTTAAAGCAGTGAAAAGCTTAATATTTGAAAATAATTTGATTAATATTATTTTGATAATACATTTTTATAGCACATAGATGCTGGTTATAATTATTTTATAGACATAGTGATATAATATTTCCTTGATTATGGTGAAGTTTTCAGTTCTTCATTTAATTTGTTCAATATCTGCTCTATAAAAGTTATTAAGGATCTTTAGTAACCAACCCAGCCGGTCCTTGTCCTATAACTGGATTCAAACCTGCCACAGCAACTGCTTTGAGCGGTCTGAAAAAAAGGTGCAAAAATTTATAAAACCGCCATCTACATTTTTTATCCAGAAACAACACTAGTACACTTTAACAAGAAGTTTCACTTGTGATATCTAGATGGCGCTGATAGGGAAAAATCACGTTAGACGTATAACTAGTTTCACTCTAATTTTACAGATGGCGCTTAATTTAAATTCTTACTTGAAACCAAGTTCCTCTTTTGGTACTCCAAGTCGAGCAAGCTTTGCTTCATAAGTTGCCAATAAGTCGTCATGAGCCTTACGAAGACGAGCAGCTTCATAACGTAGATCATCAATTTGTGTGTCTTTCAGCTTCAGGAGGTCCTGTATTAGTTTAAAAAATATAAGGTATTATGGTATGTGTCCTAAATAACTCTTTCTTTGGGTTATAGGTACATATTAATTACAGCAGGATTACACTACACTGCAGTATATTTTTAAATTGTATTCGCTAAGTTCCTAATAGACAAAATACTTCTATGGATTTTAATAGGCATGCATTAGGTACCTTATACGAATGTAACAATGGCACGGCTAAAATAAATCCGTATTTTAGAAATAATACAAAATGTAGTATGAAGCACAGAAGGCACGTTTTAACATTATTGTAAATCTTACGTGAATTTCCCTGGGCCCTGCATCACGACCT